AATATTGGAGCCATTATTACAGCAGTCGTTAGTGACGAAGGCATTATGATATATTGTGATTTATTGCGATATAATAAAGCAGGTCACATCCAAAAATATACTCATTTGGACAAAGTAGCCGATATTTAATTGTGGGTTTGTGGGAAACACGCTTTGTAACAAAGGGGGACCGGTGTATGAATCATAAATTATTAATCCGATTACGCGTGTTACGTCGTGATAAATAATGGGATCATTGCTGCCAAGTTTCAGGAAGTACATTGTTTGTTTAATGGCGTCGTTTCAAAAATTAAATTTGACGGTGTCGTAATGCGCGTAACGTTGCGGCAGGGCTTATGTTGGTTTGGTAGTGACTTCTGAGGAAACTGACGTTGCTTTGCATTCATAACGACGGCTGCTGATAGTCGTGGTTCATCTCGTCACTGTTCAGGTCACTTGTCTGAAGTCAGTAATTTATGATGGCTTGTCGTGTGGAGGAAATGTATGTCTGGTGTACTGAGCCAATATTTGTTGACGCTTCTCAAATGCTTATTTTCGGAAATCGTATCGTGGTTTTCTTCGCTGTCATTTATTGTGTCTGGTACAATTATTACAACCTGACACTCACGCGGCTTCACTTTCAAAACGTGCTCTGGATTTTGTGTGTTATTTCAGTGTCTGCGTCTTAGATGTATGTGTCGTGATAAACGCCTACAGATTAAAATTAATAAAAAAATACAGACATTATTTTATTGATTCCATGAGCCCTATTTAATACTATTGTAAGTTCTCTTATAAATCCGTTAGCGTATGCGTGGACTATACGGATTATTTGTTGCGTATTTTCCGTGAAATCCAATAGCCAGTGAAGTGTGGAACGCACCACGATTTCCGTCGTGCCTCAAGTATTAATTTGAAACAGTAACAGAGAAATAGGCTGTCCTAATGCTTGGCCCCAAGCCTTTGCAGAATAAACAAAAATTGTTCTCGCAACGATGAGGGGGACTGGGCTGTGACGCTGTGTGGCCCTGAATTTTACGAACTGTTGGTTGTCAGCCTATGAGTCCACACGGCGTCGCAACCGAGAAGAACAGCTTTGCCACGAACTGTTTCTAACTGTTCTTAATAATTGTACTACATAGGATCTTCAAAACCGACAGTGACTGATTCTTCTAATATTCCTCTCTCATTGTTATTCGTATCCCGTGATTATCCACCTACACACGTAATGTTTGCCAAGGCATTTTTTGGGTGCCCGCGTTGTTACGGAAAGAGGTTATACTGAATGATGAAGGCCGTTCAACCATGAACATTATAAAATCAAAACACATCTTTCCTTACTAATGAACATCTTGACGATTGTAAGATTTGAGGTTCTCACAGCGGTGAGTATGAAGATTTCCGTCTTCTGGGTTGTTGCGCTGTGTACTAACAGTGACATCAATGTGACAAGAGAATAATCATTCTGATAACTACGGTTATGAAGATGTGAGAGCGAAATAATGTACAACAGTGGTCCCCAACGCGGTGACCGAGGTCGCCATGGCGCCCGCCAAGGCTTTTTTGGGTGCTCGCGTTGATACGGAAAGAGGTTATACTGAATAATGAAGGCCGTTCAACCATGGACATTATAAAATCAAAGCACAGATCTCTACATACTAATGCCCATCTTGACGATTGTTTGCGAGCAGCAACATCATCCTACAATCCCAAATTTGAAAAAACTGGCCGACGAAATGCAGCGCCAAACATCACACTAACTTCCCACTTGAGTAATAATAATTGTACTTTTTGAAAGTGCGTATTTTTGATCGCGTGGTTTCTTGTATCATTAAACGTCGTGTTGTTTTGCGTATTATTTGGTGTCCATGTCTTATTTGTCCAGAGAAAAGAAAATTTAGCTTTGTTAATTGGTTGGTGCTCGCCACGATCTCATAAACTCTCAGATGTGCCCGTGGGCACAAAAGGGTTTGGGACGACTGTGCTAGAGCATCGCTCGGAAATGATATGGCTCTGTGTTCTTGTAACATTTCCACATCCGGAACGAAGCCTTCCCCGTATCTCGTCTTTCTGACTTCAGTCAGTCCTTTTAAGGGATGCTGTGGAAGTAAGTAAAAAGCATCTGCACTTTTTACTCGGCTGTGAAAGGAAGAAAGCCACCAACTAAAGCGGAAACACGTACAAACGCGTTAAAAGAAAATTGACGTGTTTTGCAAACAGATTTCGGTGTTCGAATGTTAGTGTGCTTTCAAAAAAATGTACGTATTCGCTGCGTATCGGAAGTGGACGACAGTTCGGGGCTTTCTACCGAGAATACACACAAATGTGGAATATATAGCCCACCAGAAAGGCGGAAAAGTTTTGTGATGTGTGACGAAACAGACATTTATGAAAGGGAAATTCGATACTTTTACGCACTCAACTTCCAATGTGCGTCTCAAGATGTAGACACTTCCAGCATCCATGATGTGAAGCAATCGGAGATCCCGGGTTGGAATGTTTTTGACTTTCATTTGTGGTTTTCCTCAGTACAAACAGGACCTTTATACCAGTTATAATCATTTCGTTCTCTGTCGCTTTGCAAGATACGAACGATGCAGTTGATAAAGTGTTATTAAATAAACCAAGTTATCAGTCTATTCGTCATATTTGCCCGATGTTTTATATGCAGAACTTGGAAATGTTGCTCGTCTCGTAGAAAAAGGTTTGTCCTCCGCACTCTTTCAGATGTATTTTGTATTTATTAAACGCTTTGAACCCTTTCTCAAGGCTTCTTGGAATTGTAAAACAGCCAGAATGAGATTTTTCGGCTCTATTCAAGTGGGAGCAGATCTCGCGGAAAACGTTTCCACCCTTTCAAATAGCTCGGAAGGCAGATTAGGTTACATATAATTGGATAGTACTAATGCAGTGTCGGTGAATTTAAAACGTGTCAGCTAACTATTTGTTTTGCCTTCGTGTCTTTCACGTGAGATTCCTTCCTTTCTTCCTGAAGGAGCCAATTCACTGTTGCATGCGGTTAGAATCTGAACGAGTTACATTTGCCGAAAAAAACATTTTACTGCGTGAAAGACCCACGGTTTCTTCATGAGTTAACTTTACATTTCCTGACATAGGCATTTAGAAATACAAAATCTGGTTGATACGAATCAGAAAACGGAATGCGCTGGTTGCAAGCCGTCCTTGTCTCTGGGGTTAAAAGCTTTCTGAGAACAGGAACTACCGCACATTTCACATGACGTGAAACTGCTTTGCCAGTTGGGCGCTAACATTTCCTTGGAAGTTTATCACTTTAGCCGACTCGACGCGACGCGACCTCTGCAACATCGTTAAAACACGCAGATAAATCATGCGGTCCAACAGAGTAGCTTTGACGTCTGGGACGAATGTTTAGAAAATTCAGTAAAACTTATATTCTGCTTCACTGTATGGATTCAAAAAATCGATCTGTTCTCTCGATACAAGTAGCCAATCCTTCATCACAACTTTTTTTAATTCCTGACCAAATTTCGTCAAGAAATTGACCCTCGACCTCGAGTGATTCCCTTGCTGGATTCCGAATAATGGTTGTTTAATTTTATTTGGTGTCGTGGTTTCGAAAGATAGTTGATTATTGAATAATGAATAGGAAATTGTGACGGAAACAGCCTAATTATACTTAAGTCTGCTATCCCGACATTTTCTTTGCAGGTACTGGTACATATCGAGAAAACCATAGTAAATATCCCGTCTCCTTCCGTATACGAAGTAGGCGTACTAACTGATGGCCCGCGAAGTTTGTTTGTCATGGTTCTCGTTCGTGAAAGACTAGAAATATTTGACATTCCTATAAGTTAGATAAATGAGAGAACTGCCCTCATGTGCGTATTCGTTACCCCACGAATCCTACCCTTTTTAATGATCTTAGTGTCCCATCTTATCCGGCAGAGTGCAAACTAAGCTTCCATCCTTGTTTCTCATCTCCGGAGCAGGGACTCGGCAGATGAACTTCCGTGTCTGTGCTCAGGTGGGTCTGTGTTATGATGCAGGCCATAATATAATCTGAAGGAGGGCATATGTAAAGACAGTGAAGCATCGCTGTATACCCTCGAACGTAGAAGCAGACCTCACAAACCCTCGTTTCTACTGAATTATTTAGTGCCTGCGATGTTCGCTGTAGAACCCAAATGGTCCTTTGTGCTTCCGCAATTTCACTTATCTTCGTTTTAAATACGCTCTGGTAGAGGATAATCCTCACACATATGTCATGTTGCGAAGACCGCTATGATCTTCATCAGCGCCGTGGTGTGTGAAGTATTTTTTTACAAAGTTCTTGTCTCACTGAAAAATTGGACGCTCCGAAGAGATTAGTGGATTTGCTAAGAAAGTTTGCGAAATAATTTTGTTTTTCCACAAGTCGTGATTGTGCTACAGTAATCAAAATAATTACAGAATTTACTTAAGTTTGTTTACAACAAAGTCATCGTAAAACCTGCGTCAATCATACGCTCACTTCGTAGAAAAGCTGCTGTGAGTCTCCAGTGATTGTTTCTCCTGATACCGTTTTGTATACCGAATCAATTTCTGTGAATATCCACCTTTTGATACTCCCCTGCGTGATATTCTTACTTCGTCATTATCTTCAGTATGGAGACGTCTTTAAGATACATCATCGATTTTGAAATATTTAGAGGTATGAAATTCTCACGACGCTAAATATATCGTGTGAACTTATAGCTAGGTACCAGAGTTTTGGAGGAACATACTCCCTCCATCTTCAGGACTTCAACCCTGAAGACGGACGCTATATGTTCCTCCAGAACGTTGATATGGCGCTACAACGCAGAAGATCAACACAGAAGTGTTTTATTTTCCCGATCGCTCTTCTTGAATGTCGTGGCTGCACCTTATTCGTCGCCCTTCGTATCATGATATACGACTTATTGCCGATCTCGGTTTATAGGTCCAATGCAGGCTCCAAATGTGAAAGCATTTGCGCTCAGAGACGCGAATATTCACTCGTTCCTGCTTTTCGTTTGCAGGTGGGATGAGGTAGGTGTGTGAGGTGATGCCACAATGGAGAAAGGCCGACATTCTGGGACTAGAAGTGGGACTGGGGGCGGCAGCGGGGGCGGCGGAGGCGGCGCTCCTGTGTGTCGAATCTGCGGCCAAGGCCATGCCGCCCACGAGCCCCACGTTTATGACTACGCTGAGGAAGTCGATGAGGATCTCACGTGTCACATTTGTCTGCAACCTTTCGTGACACCTTTGGATATCCCTTGCGGACACACTTTCTGCGGAGCCTGTCTCAACAACTACCTCCGCGTCCAGCAGCTGTGCCCCATCGACAGGCAACCTCTGACGGCGCAGCTGTGTTCCCCGTCCAGCATCGTTCTGCGAAAGTAAGTACTTACTGCGAAGTAACAACACAGTAATTTGTTTAGCGTTTTTCTTTCTTTATTTCTGTCTGACGACAGGTCCATATG